GGGTTTACACTCCCACAAGGTTTAGGGTTTTAGGCCTTCGGGTTTTCTAGACTTCCACACTTGCCCCAGGACCCTCCAGAGACTACCGGGCCGCCAAAGGATAAATGAAGTCTCGGAGCCAGCGAGGCCCATTCCGTTTGGCTCAGGTACTAAACCTAAAAAATAGACAAGGGATCCCTCTATCTACGGTGGGGCATACATGCCACATGAGGTATCTACGCTGGAGCATACATGCCACATGAGGAGCCTATGAAACCCGATCTTTGAAGGTAGCTTGGTTTGCTATTGCGGGTCTAGACTTAGGTTTTGCAGGGATTTGGAACTCCAACTCTGGAATTTCGGGCTCAGGACTAGGGACTGGAAGTACCCAAAGAAAGACTGAAAGGAGGGGCCTAAATAATTACCACTACTATTTTGGTGGGTTCCTTATTGAAACTATAGTCTTATGGGCCCCAAAACCCCATTCGAACTACTAAGGCCACTAGATTAGCCCGCAAGTAGAACGCTGAGGGAGCGGCTTTGTTTCCGTCTTCAGCTCAACCTCCTTCTCCTGACACTGCACCGGGTGCTGTAAAAAGCTGGTTGTATTGGGCTAAGGAGCCTACCATATTTATAACCACTACACGCTAGACCTTAATCCTTGAACCTTAAACTTTATCCTAGGGCTCCAAGTATACAAATAGTACCTACTTTGGGGTCTAAAGTCTACAAATAGTACCTACTTTGGGCTATTTGGAGCCCCAGGGTTATAAACCCTAAATCCTGCGAAGGGGGTTTGGAGCTTTGGGCGTCGGGGGCCACCTTTGAAGCCTCATCGCGGGGACGGGAGGATGGCTTCAGTGAGGAATTTCGTCTAGATTACTTACGTGGATAGTTGTCAAAATTATGGTCCCTTTTGGGGTACCCTAAATAATAGGTGCCGTATTATAATAAGGACCCAAAAAGGGACCATGATTTTGACAACCACCCACATGTAGCGGCCTTAGTAACTAGAATGGGGTTTTTTGGGGGGGCATTTAAAGAGGCGGATTGCTTCCGACTGGTGCGTAGGGGTCTCAATAGTCTTGAACAAGTGTTGGGGTATATAACACTATACTTGCAATAGGGATGACAAGACAGTCCCACTAGCTATTCAGGGTTACATACTACCAGTATGAGGAAGGCGCATACCATCGATGCCAATGCTGGTGGCTGAGATTAAGCTACCAATAAGGTGGGCAAGCACAGCACTCACTGTTTAGACTTATCGTTGGAAGATGAATAGTTCTCCTTAAGAAAGAAGACCCCAGCAGGAAATGCAGCAATGGCTCCTTGGCAGCTTTGTCCACCTTCGAATCGCTCATGAACCTGGTTCTAGCTCGCGGGAAGACTAGCTAAGAGTACGGTTCTGAATGCATCGAAACTGAATCCTACGGTTGTCAAGACACAAGGTAATGCTTCGCCTAAGCCTAAGCCCCGAACATCCAGCGCCAGAAGCCAAGTTCTAGACGAAACAGGTCCCTTTGAATCCTATACTGTCGCGTTCCGAAAGCAGCAGGATGCCAAAAACGGCACCGGAATCCTTACCTTTTTGCTGCAGGCTTGCCAGCAATAACGCCTGGTAGATAGCCACTCGTCCGCCGACAAACACTGTACTCGTGACAAGGATTCCCTAAACCCTAAACTACATGCCCAAAAGCCTGAACCCCGGCCTCTCAGGCGAAAAAGCTCTGAACCCCGGCCTCTCAGGCGAAAAAATCTCTGAACCCCAAACACCAAGCCCCATAAACTATTTCACCTTATCCTGGCCAAGATTTGGTTTGGGTAATGATCACTATACTATGACATGCCTATGTGAAACCCTTACCGTATAGTGATCCAATAGACGACCTTTAAGTGAGCCTCACTTTAGAGGAACCCTGCTCGTAGTATTAAGGACCCTAAAATAGAATCTTACTTATAGCATCAAGGACCCTCAGCCCTGAGCCCTAAACCCGTTACCCGGAACCCTAAACCCTAGACCCTAAACCCTAAGCCCTAAACCCTTTACCCTGAACCCTTTACCCTGAAGCCTAAGCCCTGAACCCTTTACCCTGAACCCTTGACCCTAAACCCTGTACCCTGAACCCTAGACCCTAAACCCTAAGCCCGAAACCCTAGACCCTAACCCCCAAGCTCTAAGGTCTGTACCCTGAACCCTAGACCCTAAACGAAGCTCTAAACCCTGTACCCTGAACCCTAGACCCTAAACCCTCAGCTCTAAACCCTGTACCCTGAACCCTAGGCTCTAAGGTCTGTACCCTGAACCCTAAACCCTGGTCCCTAAACCCTAGACCCTAAACGATGCAGAGGAGCTTGGTATGCTCACCCAAGCTCTGGGCCTCAGCAGCCTTCGTCTCCTTCAGCGGTGCTTCTTCTCACCGTGGGTTTAGGGTTCAGGGTGAAAAAATAAGCTCCTTTAGGGGTTTCTTTTAGACATTAGAGGTGTGCGTACAATTTATGGAAGGCTTAGTTCGTTTTGTGTTGAATATCCTTTTCCAACTGCAGGGCTAGTCCAAGCGACGAAAGGGTTTCGACCCGGGTAAAGCAAAGCTCCATCAAGGGTGACCCCTGAACCCTGAACCCCAACCCCTAACACCTTGCATTGGGAGCCTTTCAACATTAAATCCTAAAACCTCGAACCACAAACCCGAATCCTGGATCCTTTAAAAACCTTAAACACGGCTCACAGGATCATAAAACCCTAAGCACACCAAATAACCTTGAAGAGCCCCTTCAAGGAACCCGAAAGCGAGGCTAGGGCATGCCGAAGCCAGGGCGCTGTCTCCAGTCGAGCGAAATCGGCCTCCAGAACTTCGAGCAATGCATTCACACCTTGCGGCTTCACGCTATAAGGTCCCCTGTACCCTTTTTTTCTCTGGCCTTACCAGGCCTTCGAATATGGATACTTCATGGCCAAAGTATATACAACATATATATATATATATACATATATATATATATATATATAGGTTCATGGATCTTTAGGGTCGAGGTTGCGACAGGTGTTGGGCCGTAGGGTCTGCAGACTTAGGCCGTTTTCAGCGTTTTGGGTTGGCGATTTCGGACCTTGCAGGGTTTAGCTTTCTGGGTCTTAAGCGACTTCTTTTGGAGGTTTGGACCCTCCAAAAACCCTGTCCCCAAGGTTCTGGCCAAGAATCCCTGCGACGATTTCTGCAATGTACCGGCGACAGGTTTATGTTCCAAGTGAAACAGGACCAAGTAAGCCTTGGTTTCGGTTTCGAAAAGCCTTAGGGTCTTCGCTGTAATGGTCTCGGGACTCTTCGTTGTGAAGCTGCTTCGTTTTGAAGCTGCTTCCAAGCTTTCGACATGACGACGAGGGTTCAACCCACGCGACATGACTTCACGTGATAGAGTTGTTGTACAAGCCCCTCTGCCTGTTATAACGGATTTACTGTGGGTATGAAAAGGCGGTACCTTACTACATAGGTAGCTGTCAGCTGACGCTTCCTTCGAAGCCGAAACAGCTGATGCAGTTGGGAGCCACTGGGGCTGTCACGCTCGTCAGCATGGCTATGGCATTGTTTGCAGTTTTTGGGGTAAGTACAGTAGAAGCGGCTCGTGACTACTCTAAACCCCAAACCCCTATTCCGGAAAAGAACCATACAGGGCCTGAATCACTCAGTCAACACTATACAGTACGGAACCCGAAAGATTCGCGTGTCTATTTCTATCCTCAAACAGCCACAACCTTAATTGTGCGACAACCCGCTGAACCGAGGACCCATAATCCCAAGACACTACAACATCCCTAGACCCCTATATCAACCAGAATAAGCCCAAAAAGCCCTGCCTCCGCCGTCCATGCCCGTGTAGGAGCCCTCGAAGATATCCGGTGCATCGGAAATGGAATCCTGGTTTGGGTTGAAAAAAGAAGCCTGAATGATTAGAGGTTCTGGTGCTTTTTAGACTACAACTACATAATGGAACCTCAAAGAACGGTATTTCTCATGATTCGACCTCCTAGGGTTCTCATGCTCTGACATGCAGTGGGGTCCATGTGCAAGCTTCAAGTAACCCACACCCTCAAACCTGAACGCCAACTCTCAAAAGCACCCTAAACCCTAAACCAAAACCCTAAACCCTCAACCATATAAGCCCTCTAAGCCCTACGAGTAGAAGCCGGATCAGACCACCCCACCAAACTCTCAAGGAACCCGGTAGCGTAGTGCCTGAAGCAAGGCCGTCTTCGATGCTTTGGCCACGGCGCCGGAATAGAAGCCTCGCAGTTGCAGGGTATGGCGTTTTCTGCTTCTTAATACTGCATGGTTACAACATGTGTACCTTAACGTGCGTGTATGTGTGTGTGTATATATATATATATATACTACATTGGTTATATATATACACACACGTATGACGTATTAATCTATGTGATTATCCATATAGGTTTTGTCTTCTCAGGCAGTGGCTCAGGCAGGATACTTTAACCAAGCAGCCAAAGCCAAGACCCTGTGTACCTGAACTACAAAAACATACCGGTCTTGGCAAGCTCCAATCACATCTGTCGCCCCTCCTTGCACCCACCGGCATCTAACGCAACCCTGGTTTGGGGCCTACCTTTCGCGGCCAAGAAAACATTTCTGGGCATACGAGTCTGGGGCCAATGTAGGCCAACCAAGGGTAGACGTAGAACAATTAGCCCTAAACCCTAAACCTAAAAACCTAAACCCTAAACCCAAACTTTTCAGTACAGCCGACAGCCTCAGCCCTGCATTCCCAAACCACCGAAGCCGCCAACCCCACGAAGCAGCCGCCCACCAACTTCTGCAAGGAAGGAGCTGTCCAAAGCAGCAACAGCCTGGGCAATGGCCTTCTGAGCGTCCTTCGTCAGTTATGGGCTTCCGGTTTTGGATTCGGGGCTTCGACTCTTGTGCTGGCTGAGGCTTCAGGGTTTAGGGTTTTTGGAGCAGTATTCGGAAGAATCTGTCATGAGCTTGAAAGGCTGGTTTGCCAAAAGTCCCTGCATGATATTTTAGACCAGACCGAGTAGTCGCTAGACTCGAACGAGACAGCCAACAACCCTAAACCCTAAACCCCTAAACCCTAAACCCTAAACCCTAAACCTAGCTAGTGCTGCGGCGTTCGTCGCCTTGCCTTTGCAGTTTGGGGTGTATAGGGTTTTAGGGTTATAGGGTTTAACCATAGGCTTTAAGGCTTTATGGCCTAGGGTTTAGGATTTAGGGTTTGAGGCCCAAGAACCCTGAAACACAGTCCGATGATGAATCCCGAAGCCGTTCCAGCTCATGGACGAAGACGTTGCACTCGCCGGGTTTAGGGCTTCGGCACTGCGAGAGACAGGAATTCCAGGCGAAAGCTCGCAATTATCTTCCTGGCACCTCCTGGCCATCCCGAAAATCCGAAAAAACTGAACCTCAAACCCTAAACCTCAAACCCTAAACGACCCAGTTACTACCACGAGCTGCAGACCTGTCGAAACTGCCAGTGCTGCGGAAAAAACGCAAGGCTCGAGCTGACGGGTTTGGGATTTGTTTTAAAGGGCCATTGTCCAATGCAGGTGCCTGTGGGGGTTAAGGAGTTTAGAGTTTAGGGTTTAGGGCTTTTTGTTGATATTTTTTGGTTCAGGGCTTAGTTTATGGGCCGTAGTGATAACAATAGAAGTTTGGCTGGGGCGAAAGCATCATTCCACCTGGGGAATGTTAATTCTGTGTTGTGCCGGTCGATCGCACGATGGGTATACACCCTTTTTGCCACTGGACTCAAGTCTAGCCATACCCCTTTTGTTGCATCAGGACTTGTGCAATTGCCTGAATGTCTAGCCATACTGGCTTACCCTAAACCTGAAAAGCTGTGCTAACTTATTTTCACCTCGAGCAGTTCTGCCCACTTCGTTTCCCAGCTGCTGCTGTAAGAGCTCCTAATCAGGTACCACAGCTTGGCTCGGTCTTAACGTCTTACGAGTTAAGCTCTAGGGCTCAGGGTATCAGTGTCCGATACAGCCCTTTCGGGCTTCGACCTTGGAGGCGATTACCAACATCATACTTTCCCCTACCTGAAACCCCGACACGCAAACCAAGCCTTAACATGCCAAGCCTGAATTAAACCAAAATGCACATTATTAGAAGAACACGCAAACCGCAAACCTTCAATTTCAATCCTGAACTGCCCCTATGATCTTCGAGTGAAGTCCGTCCTGGGCATCCTTGATCGTCTCCTCGTTCTCCTCCGTGGCACAAGACAGTGAGGGAGAGACATGTGCGGCAGAAGTTCTGTCTGGGTGATGCTGACTCTTGCAGGTTTGTAAACCCTAAGGGTCCATGTATTCATATAGCATATACATGGGCCCTAAAGTACCTATATAGGAACTACATTAAGGCCAATGTATATACTATATGAGCACATGGAACCTTAGGGAAAGGACTCCAAAGGCCTCATGTGTGGACATTTGGGAGTTTCCGGAAATAAGGGGTACCTTATTTGGGGGTCCTTATAATAAGGATCCTACTATTTAGGGTACTATGTTGGGGTCCCCTATTTTCAGAAACCTCCATTTAGGGCCAGGGTTTTGTGTTTTAGGGCTTAGAGGTTTAGGTATCCAAGATCGATCACCCAAAGTGCGGGGGATCACACAACATGTTCTTGCAAGACACGGTGCGTATCTTCAGGGCTGCAGTGGTTGACCAAAGAGCGATCCATTCGATGTTGGCCCAGAGCTCGGAACGATGAACACTATGAACAGCTAGAAAGTAAGACTCTACAGAAACCATCTCAGTTTTTAAACCCCCTGAACCCTATGAAACCCTAAACCCCATTAGACGTCCTAATATACGACTCTATCGAACTCTGACTACGTGAGAAGAGGACGGAGGACTCCTCCTTTTCGGCTTGCCGCAACTTCTCCGACTCCTCGCGGTCGGCCGCGAGCTTGGTGATGTCCTGTCCCAAGTGTCTGTCTAGGGTTCATGGTTTGCAGGCTTTTGGTGTTAGGGTTAGTGGGCCCCTTTGCGGGGTTTTGGTGCTAGGGTTAGTGGGCTTAGGGTTTACGGGTTTCGGGTGTCTAGGGTTCATGCTTTGCAGGTTTTTTGGTGTTAGGGTAAGTGGGCTTAGGGTTCAAGGGTTTAGGGTGTCTGTCTGGCTTATGTAAGGGTGTCTCTTGTTGCTCGGTTCCTCAAGGGTGCTACGGGGTAAGGTTTTGGGCGTTGCGGGCCCTAAGCCCTAAACCAAAATCCCCAACCCTAAACCCTAAACCCTAAATCCTAAACCAACACCCCAAACCCGAAACCCTCGTGTTTTGTCGGGCTTAAGGGCTGAAGATGTGGCGGTTTAGGGATGCTTATCAACATCCTCCTTGTACCCTCAAGTAAGGTATATATATAAAAAAAGATATGGCCGTGATTGTTTAAGTCTTTGGGGTACACTCGAGAGTAGATGGAGGAACGAAGATCTTGGAAACCTTTCCAACTTTTAACGTGTAAGGCCCTAGACCCTCAACCCAAAACCCTAAACCCTAAACTCCAAAGCCTAAACCCTAAACTGACTAACCTCAGCTGGCTCCCGACTTACAGTCTGCATATCGTGGCGGAACACGTCGTGGAAGCCGAGATCCGAAACGTCTGTACCCCTGCCCTGGACCTTAGAACCCAACATCCCGAAGGATGGCCCTAACACCCCCTAAACCCTAAACCCTAAACCTTAAAGCCTAAACCCTAAACCCAAAATCCTAAACCCTAAATCCTAAACTTACTAAACCCCTAAATCATCAAGAGCCTGCAACCACTATGGGGTCCAGGAAGCCTTGCTCAAGCCGTCCACCGAGTCTCCGAGCTCCGTGATGTCAACCTCTAGCTGATCCACCTGCAGAGTTTAGGGTTTAGGGTCTAGGTCTTAGGGTTTAGGGTTTAGGATTTTAGGGTTTAGGGTTTAGGCGTTACACTCTCACAACTCGGACAAGGGTTTAGGCTTTAGGGCTTTTAGTTCAGGTGTTTGGGGCGTCCGGTGCCCGAACTATAGCATAGGCATGGCCACGAATTCCGAATATTCCAAGAGGCTGCAAGGCGCGGGGGGTGTGGCGGCATGTACTGGAACATAAGAGCAGCAAAGCTTCAAAAGCTGGACGTTACTTGCAACTAGCCATGTCGTCGTGCAAAGCAACGTAAACATAGCCCTAAGACTCCAAGACTACGATTAGTACCTACTTAGTCTACCATCTGCAAAAGAAAAAGGTTTAGGGTTTAGGGTTTAGGGTTTAGGGGCTATTTGGAGCCCCAGGCCAGCTACACTTTGTTGCTCTTAGAGTCTCTCAAAGACCAGGGAAGCGCAACCCCGACATAGACCCAACTGAAGATGCAGTCCTTACACTCTTAGCATCCAGAAGAACCCTACTTTCTCCACCCCAAAACCCCAAACAGCCCCTCCGAAGGATTGCCGAACCTTTGAGACCGGAGCGGGGTTTGGGGTTTAGGGTTTAGGGTTTAGGGATTACTGCGTAGTCTTGATTCTACTGGGAGGGCCGATCGACGGATATCACCCAGACCCGCTACATTGTCTTGGTTTGTAGGGCGGGGAAACCCTGAACCCGGGAACGTGCGAGTTTCCTTCGGGTTAGATGCTACGGATTGCAGGCCCCCAGAAGACAAAGCCATCCTCGCCAGTAAAACCCCACAGCGGACCACCCCAGTTCAGAGAAACCTTCCATACCCCACCTCGCCCTGCAAAGTGTCCATCTGCTGCTTCTTCGAGGTTCGGGCTTGCTCGTTAGTGGCGAGCTCCTGATGGGTTAGGCTTTGTCAGTTGTAATCCAAGTGGTTAAAGCGGAGTCTGGCACAGAACATATGGCGAGGAGAGATGGTCAAGGCCGAAGAATTGGCATACACTGCATACACGTCGCAGAATTTAGAGTGCAAGGCTTAACTGCTGAACGTAGGGGCCTAGATAGTTACCTATCCTATTTTGGGGGTTCCTTCTCATAGTAAAAGTATAGTGCGTCCCAAAACCATGTTCTAATCATTGCGTCCCCTATATGTTACCCGACAAAGCTTCCTTCGGGCTGATGGGTTTAAGTTCGGTTTGTGCTTCTTCTCAGGTCCAGCGCAGCCGGCAGATTATGGAGTGGCTATGCCCATAGGCTGCAGTGTCGTTCCTTTCTGGCATTACCTTATAGGATCTTAAATATAAGCCACAAAAAGGCACTGCAATGGATCCGATAGGTCGTTGCAAGCACTACTTGTGATGGTGAGGCTGATCCTGCCAGCGTGCTACCTGCACCAGTCCATCTTTTCAAACTAGTACTCCTATCATCTGCTACTGGAGATGTGAAGACGACAACTGATACGACTACTCAACAAGTAATACTACGATATTCGTACTCGTACTAATATGCACTAATACTCCCACTGCAACGACGACGAGGACGACGTCGACCACAGCTGCTTCGGTTGCTCTCATGGTCCAGAACCTGCGATATAAGCTTAATGTCTTCCCGGCGGTCCTTCTTGCACCACCCATCCTGCAGAAAACACGTGAAGGTGGGCAGGGGAACGATTCGCATCAGGCTTCTCACGGCCGCTTTCCACTAGTATCGTGATACCCAGTTATGACTACCGGTGCTTCTGTTCACTGCAATAGTTCTTCCTGATAGCCGTGCGGCTATAGTCATTTCTGCTGCTCTTCAACAACCTTGCACTGACACTACAAGCATCGCCGTCGATGGCATCATTACGAGCATCCTGTCTAAAGCAATCGCAACCCAGCCATGCTGACACTTCCATGCATCATTGCATCAATGCAGGAAACCTCGACGGACGAAGCAGCTACAGGGGCCTCTGGCATGAGGGCTGCAACTCCTCAAAGGCGCTAACATCCTGCTGAACCCCAATTAACCTGCACTAAGATGCTTCCCAAACCCTGATAGGCCTACACCACAGTGCCACATAAATTGAAACCCTTACTTTTACACAGGCTTGATTGGAGCTCGCCCGGTCAGGTTCAAAACTCGGAAACCTAAACCCTATGCGCACCTTCTCGGTGTCTGCTGCGGCCTCTTCCTGCAAACGGTTCACCAAGCTAAAGATCATCTTCCTGGCAGGTCATGGACGCGGTGTTGGAGTTAGGGGTATAGCGTTTCGGGGTCTTGGAGTTAAGGGTCACGGGTTAGGATTTTGGGGTCTTAGGTTTAAGCCCCTAGGGGTCTTCGATATCTTGCAGGGGCAACAGGCTCGGGTGGAATAATTGGCTCTTATCTAAGGTAGAACCCATGGGCCCCCAGTATGGGCCCTTAACCCTCGGACCCTAATATAGCTACTCTATACCCTATATACACTCTTAAGGGACCCTAGAATCCCCTCTCGTCAGGTTGCATAGATTCAACAACGCCACTTTTATGCAGGTCCTCGACAAACAACATCGACCTCAAGGGCCCGACTGAAACGTATGGGGTTCCGAAACTAGGGGACCCTAATATAGCACCCTAAATAGTAGGATCCTTATTATAAGGACCCCCCAAAATAAGGTCTCCCCTAGTTTCGGAAACGCCCGAAAGATAAAGTGCTCGTCCTTGGGGCAACTAAGTGACGGCACGTGCAGCACTGGTGCCTAACCTAACTCTCGGCCCCCACCCTTTAAAAATCCTAAAAGCCTACCTGTAGCCGAAAAGACCTACCTTTTGGGGTTCCTTATCATGGCTTCCACATCTAGTTCCTTACTAAGGCAGGTCTTTTCGGTTACAAGTACATCCTAGACCCTGTAACCCTCTAAATCCCCGAACCTATGCCATGATCCGACATCTGGAAACAAGGGCCCATACCTTTTAAAAATCCCGAAAGACCTACCTTTCTAGGGTTCCTGATTATGGTTTCTATATATATATATATATATAGTTCCTTAAAAAAGTAGGTTGATCCGACAGCTGGAAACAAGGCTGGCGGACTTGATCTTCCCCAGGCCGTCACCCTCGACACGGAGCGCGAGGGAGGACAAGGTGTTGCTGTCCAGCTCCTGGTTTAGCGTTTAAGGTTTAGGGTTTAAGGTTAAGGACCGGCTCGTATGTCACAATGACAACGTTTCGCTTTGGGTTTCAGGGTGGACTGCGAAACGAGGAATGGCAACAAACTCAACAAACCACTCCCGAGGTACCTCAATGGAGTCATCATTTCAGCAGTGGGCCATGGTTTGGTTATGCTGGTGTTTGTAGTATAGGCTTAATTAATAATTCGAATCGGGCTTTTTGGGGGTAGATCATACTAGGCTCATAATGGGGAGCTCGAATAAGTAATGGTATAGGGACTTACGCAGACTTCTATATTACCTGCATAGAAGCTGTCGGAACTGTTGATGGACAAAATCCTGCATGACCTTAAGGACCTTAAACTATGGGAATTATGGTATATTCCTTATAATGGGTAATGCAGGATTTTGTCCATCAACAGAATGTTAGGACGCTGGGCCTTGTTTGGGCGTCTTGAGACTCTGAGTTGCAGTAGCGTTTCGTACTTACTCTACTTTCCGATTATCGGACCCCACCTTTCGGGTTTAGAGATTGGGGTTTGGGGTTCAGGGGTTTAGGGCTAGGGGTTTAAACAAGGGGCCTGGGTTTTGAGTTGCATTACATCTTTCCGATTATAGGGGCAAGAACCTTTAGAGGGTTTACCTGGGCCCCAAAAGTATGTAGAATAATCGCTTTTTTTTTGGTATTGGACCATTATCTTACCTACTTTTTGGAGTCTAGGTAGGGAGTGTGGTCAGGCTTTAGGCTTCGGGCTTTGGGCTTTGAGGGTTTAGGGCACTAGTCAACGAGAGGCGGGCTCCCCCAATACACCCAAACACACGCAAACGCAAACCCTACAACGCCCGAAACCTAAACCCTAAACCCTGGTTTTTTTTTTTAAAGCACCTTTTCCTCCCGCTGTTACCCAGGGTTTAGGGTTTAGGGTTTTGGGTCTCCGTAAACCCTTTCTGAACCAGGAGCTACACTCAATCCGCCGGGAGCCATGCCAGGGGGCCATTCACTGACCCTAAGGGTCCATGTACCCAAATAGTATATACTTTGGCCTTAATGTAGTCCCTATATAGGTACTTTGGGGCCAATGTATATACTATTTGGGTACATGGACCCTTAGGGTGATACACCCTTTAAATCCTAAGCTCTTGCACCCTGAACCCCTACACCCGGGAAAACCCTAAACCCTGAACGCCTATCATAATAACCATTTGATACTATAGAATGATCGAAATACTTTTGATAATAGCAATAATCTCTTATTCTAAACATCATCATAACCGTAATCAGACTCAGAAATATATGCAGAATAAGACATCATCATCATCATCATCATAATCTGAATCAGAAGGATATTCATAATACAAAAAACCCCGAATCTTCAACCTCTCAAACCCTTGGCGCACCTCAGCACGCTGTCTGAGCAGCGCGACCGCCCGATCGCGGAGGGCTCCCGAGAAGTCGGAACGCAGAGCTGCCTGGGCTTCTCGAGGTTTATTAATTTAAGGTTTTTTGCCTCCTACTTAGCAA